GTGTGTGTGTGTGTGTGTGTGTGTGGGTGTGTGGGCGTGTGTGTGCGTGTGTGCGTGTGCATGCGTGCGTATACGCGTGGGTGCGTGCGTGCGCTCGCGTGCGTTGTATTTAGGCCTAGGCCTATGTGTAGCACGCTTGAATGTTTTGGTGACCTTGTGCGCGTGACGTGTGATAATTAAGCACACGCATACGAGCACGCGTAACTGTTTGTTTTACTGTGCACCACTGATTTCTTTATATTACTGTTACTACAATATATTAATGTTTAATATTTAATATTTAATATTTAATATTTAATATTTAATATTTAATATTTAATAATTTTATTTAATATTTAATATTTAATATTTAATATTTAATATTTAATATATTAATTATAGAGATCAGTGTTTCACGTACGTGTACATCATTTAGATGACGGTATTGCTGTACAATAAAGATTTCACTTTTGTACATTAACCTACCTAAGAACAATATATTAATTATAGAGATCAGTGTTTCACACACGTAAAGTTGAGCATAGGTATAGCTGCGCGGTAATTAATCGCGCGAGTGTCGTTTTTAGCTAGCTCTTCCGCTCGATAAGATTTTGTCGTAATTATGTTGACTATTGTCAGGTGTCGACCTCAGCGTGGTCTTTTTGCTAAAATCCACTCTTTGTAAAATCCCCATAAAACCTTTTAGGAAACCTACAGAAAGTAAGTACTCACTGGCTGGCTACAAAAGTTCAAAAATCAGTTGTGATGTGTCGCATAGATGGCGCTGTGCGTCAAATTTATACAGATTCCGCGGCGTTTTACGATTTCGTTTTCGTCAGAGATATATTATATTATTTTCTCAGCTAGTTCTAGTAGCATAATAATCATGTGCCGTTGTAGATAATAGTCGTTGTTACCTAGTGTTTCTTTCAGATAATGTTATTTTACTGTTAGCATTTGTATGGTACAATCAATCGCAATGGCAGCAACGAAGGTAAATAGATGAGGTGTATTCAATATTGACGTTAGTCACACATAGTGGTTGGGTTAATCAGGTATTGTGTGTGTGTGTGTGTGTGTGTGTGTGTGTGTGTGTGTGTCTGTGTGCGTCTGTGTATTTCTTGCACCACATATCAGATATTACATATCTAATTTCTCAACAGGAACTGGATCTCAGCTACAACAATCTTATGAGGATCCCTGTAGCTCTACTCCAGATCGACAGTCTAAAACATCTCGACCTACGGGAGAACCCACTCATATGCGAATGCAGCACTATCGATTTCATGCACGCTGCCCAGAGGTTTGGGCTGTTGGCAGGACTCCCACTAGTTGGTTACCTTGATGACCCTGATGCCTTGTCGTGTACGTTCTCTGACCAGTCAATCGCTCTCCGGAAGGTTCACATACAGGAAGACGATTGTGGTTTGCCCGTCATAAATATATTTGCCATTGTGATGGCTTCCCTAATTTTGCTAGCAATTGTCGTAGTTACATATAGACGCCGTCGTTATATAGCTTACTACTTTCACGTGGCCGCTGTACGATTAAAACGATACGAGCCAGCAGTAGGTGAATATGAATATGATGCGTTTGTTGGGTATTCAACTTCCACTGGTTTCGAGTTAAACTGGATTATCAATTTCCTTCTTCCAAAAATGGAAAACGATGAGGTAAACCCATACAGACTTTTTCTTGAGGAGCGAGATATGCCCGCATATGGAATGCAGGTTTCCAACATTGTCGCCTTCATGGACAAAAGCCACACCGTAATTCTCGTTATCACACAAACGTTTCTCACTGATGTCTATTGTAATTTCATGCTCAAGACCGCCGCAATGAGAAATAACGTCATCATAATATTCTTAGAGACTATAGCAACGGAAGAATTTCCTGCAGAGCTTCGGGTGCTGCAATTGCATTCGACGTGTCTTCACTGGTCGGAAAACAGGAACAGCCAGGAGCGGTTCTGGAAAGCAATAGAATATGCTATGCCCCTTCCCCAGCGGGACCACTACGCACCAATTCTAGCTAGCAGTAACTACTCCGCGGTACAGGCTATCTGGACGGTAGACAGGGCTGCAGCACTCCCCTCTTGTATGCCTTGCGTGACAACACAAACGGAGACAGATAATAGAAGTAATACGACTGGCAATGCCATTTGTGACAATGAGTGCTACACCTATAACGATCAGTGGCCAATAAATGATGACCTAGTCATCAAAAGAGATCAAATAGACGCAAGTGATACGCAATTATTTCTAAACAATTATTCCGAATTATCTTGTTTAGAATTGGACAGGATTGAAATGGAGATTCTCACGCGTGACAATAAATGAAAATTACCGTAAAATAAATGTAAATCGGCATTTAGTAAACCGCGAAACTCTCGTCTCAGACCCTTGCCCCCGTACAGCATGTATGTTGACAGGAAACTGCGCCCCTCTACCGAGTTCCGAAATTTTTACCGGCGTAGGAATGTGTTCAGGCTACGGCCCTGTGCTCCCTATACTCCTCTTGATCCCCTTTCACTTCTTTTTCTTCTTTGCATTCTTTTTTCGCTCGTCCCTCTCCTTCTCCCCCCCCCATTCCGTCTATTTTTTGCCGTCGTCTTCCTCTTTATACCATAATGGGCTAAACCACGACAATACCACAATAACAAATATAATCAGTATATAGTCAATAATATAGTCATTAAAAGAGCGGCCGCGTGTGTAATTGAGCGTGAAAGTTTAGTGATCATGTAATAATGTGTTTGTTACCCCGTGATCGATAGGGTTCTGCGCATATTATTAAGATATACCGCTGTACGCATTATACATAAATTAGCCAACACTGAAGGTACGTATTTCAAACACACACATATTTAATAGTCGGTAATGACGGTAACATATATATGCCCGTAATAGTGAACAGTAGTGTACAGCTGTGTACGCGACATACAAACATGAACTTACATATGTATAGTAGTCTTCGTCAACGTTGAAAACAGTACGGATATCGCTTGCCACGTTCGTAGAGTCAGAGTGCAAATAGTAGAGACTGCCGCTATATATTCCCGTGCTGCGTGCACACTGTTATATATACTGCGCCTTCCTATTGTTTAGGTTCTGGTCACGCTGCATAGTTCAGCGGCATATAGTGCATGGTACGAGGTCAGCTGCGTGTTTACACAAAAGGCTTGTCCTGTACTCTGACTACTTAGGTTATTATGCAATTATCCTATTCCTATCTTATTTGACTATTTCTGTATTACATTACTCCCTCACCATATGACAAGTTGGGAGCCGTACTAATGCGGCGAACAACTTCTGTCAACGTTGTGATGCATTGCTTTTAATACGTATATTTTTAACTTTTTTTTATAACCGGAAAGACTAAATTATCGGTGCATCTAAACTTTACTTTTCTCTATTATCTATTCCTTCCTTGTTTTGCTTCTTTATGGCTATGCATTAAGCTATTTCATTTTTATTTTGTTACTTAAAACACCTTCACCTTAATTTACTTAACTAAATTAACTAAAATTTACTTTAACTAACAATGGATTTTTATTTTACTTTATCTTCTATTAAACATTATTTTCTGTTATATAATAATAAACAATCTAGCGAAGTCGCCGTCGTCCTCGTGGTCCGTTGGTGTGGGGTCCGTGTCGTCGCTGTGGTGGTCGTCGTCTCGTGATCGTCGTCGTCGTAGCTCGTGTGCACTGGCGGTGCTCCACTGGGCTTCGGGTCCCAGTTGTAAAAGTCCTCCTCGTCGTCGTTGTCCTCGCGGTCGCGGTCGTCGTTGTGGTTGTCGTCGTGGCGGTCGGCACCCCGTTTGCGGGTAGGGTAAACTGACTCGCACAGAATCGTGTGTGCGGTAGCTCTCCTTGTGAGCTCGGCTCCTGGTTGGTGCGGCGAGCTACGTAACTGTCGATATGACGTGGTTCGCCGATGTCGCTATTGTCCCACCATATCGTGTCTTGGCGTCGGTTGGCCACATGTTGATGCCGCATCCCTCCATCATAATGGTGCTGGTATAGTGACTGCAGGTGCTCAAAAGAGGATAGGTTAACGTAACATGTAATTACAACGGTGATTAGTGGCACTTGACAATAGCGTGCTTAAAACAATAAACAATGCATTTAAAATATGTGAGTTTGTGCGTCGTAGCAAATATTGTGCTAAACATGGTGTAACATACCGTGTAATATAGTGAATACATATAGTGCATTATCGTGAATCATACACGGTGCGTGATACAAACATGTGTTTGTTAATTACCTAGTGACACAATACATCGCACGTCCTATTCCTATTCCTATCTTATTTGACTATTTCTGTATTACAATCAACTAGTCGTCACTTCGATCAATCGGTGCAGTAATCTGGAAAGACGACATAGCTATAATTTAAATACAAGCTCTGATTATCGGCGGGACTTTGAAGACGAGGCAATATACAACTAGTTTCTAGTCTTTGCAATCAGAGAGCTCGAAACATAGCACTAAAGCCTCCATAAGAGGGTAATAAATATGGCCGTTCAATCTAACTTTGTAAATTTGTATAGTTCTGTTTTGTTATATCTGTCAAGATTTTGAATCTGTCACGTAATATATCGCTGTCGATACTGATATAAACCATAGTAGGTATTGAATGCCGCGGCAACTGTGACATTTATTTGTACTTTATTATGGATGTGCCTATATGCACACATATCAGGCGTTAATTAATAGAGATCCTATTCAAGTATCCCTGCACATATCATACAACTACTCCAGAGGCCGCAGCGCACTGGAAACGTTATTTTCATTTTACGAAGACATTAATCGCGTCAGCAACCAAAGTACAACGTTACAACTGCTACTACACTTTCTATTCGCACCACCTTTAGGGCTACTATCATATTCATGTCTCTCTCTCTCTCTTTCTCTCTACCCGGCCATCGCTCTATTCCACCTTCCGCGTTATATTACCCGTACATATTACCCTAATGTAGTAATGATGTTATTTACGTAATATATTGTTATTTCCGCAATCGTATCTAGTTACTCCCAATTGCTTCTAAATTTTAGACAATTTATACGAGAACGTTGTACTGATGAGTTGGTATTAACGACCTTTGCCTTTGTTCTGGGTCTATTTACATTATTGTACTGGAATATCATGTTAATTGTTTTCAGTATGATATCGATATACAATGACTATTATATACTATCGATTTATATACTATCGGTTTATTTTATGTGTGCCATGATGTTATGCTTACGATATCTGAATCAATATCCTCTTAAAATTATGTCACGATTATATGACATTATAATATTTGTACAAATATATTTTCTTATTTATCTTGCCAAGTATGTCTGCAATTCTAATCCGCTGCACGTTGTATACTGTTGTTCCTATGGTATATATACGGGGCGCCATGCAGGACAGGGCTCAATTTTGTCTAACAAAACTCAATTCTGTCTTACAAAACTCAATTTTGTGAACACAAAACTCAATTCTGTCAATCCTGTACCACAAAACTCAATTGTGTGAACACAAAACTCAATTCTGTCAATCCTGTACCACAAAACTCAATTTTGTAAACACAAAACTCAATTCTGTCAATCCTGTACCACAAAACTCAATTTTGTAAACACAAAACTCAATTTATATAGAAATATATTTCCTGCCCCGGCCTTTGGGAAACATAGCAGTATACTGTTGTCCGTGCTACCGTTATATACTGTTTTGGTATTGAGGTTGTATCTTTAAAAGTGTTAAAAATATATGT